CCGAGTGCTGGGATTAAAGGCGTGCGCCACCACCGCCCGGCTTCTTTCCCCTTTTTATGGTACTAGGTAGGGACTGCCTAGGATCTCTCCTATGTTAGGTGAGTACAAATCACTGAGCCACATCTCTAGCTGTTTCTTCATATTTTTATGCCCAGGTGTGTGTGTGTGTGTGTGTGTGTGTGTGTGTGTGTGTGTGTGTGTGTTCACTGGTTATTGAACTTAGGGTGTCGTGAATATTAGGCAAGCATTATACCACTATATATTCTCAGTCCTCTCTCTATTTTAGTTTGAGGTAGAGTTTCACTAAGTTGAGTGGGCTGGCCTTGGAATAAATTTGAATGTATGATCCCCTTCTCAAGAGTCCCAAGCAGCTGGGATTACACCCATTCCTGCCTCACTAGCAGTTTTTTGTTTTGTTTTGTTTTTGTTTGATTTTCGTTTTTGGTTTTTAGGGTTTCTCTGTGTAGGCCTGGCCATCCTGGAACTAACTCTGTAGACCAGGCTGGCCTCAGAGATCCTCCTGCCTCTGCCTCCCGAGTGCTGGGATTAATGAATTGCACCACCACCACCCAGCCTTACTAGCAGTTTGTAATGAAAACATTTCCATTTTTATGAAAGTTAATTTATACATTTCTGTCTTTCATGGACTTTTAAAATCTATCCTATTTTTAAAAAATATTTACCTTAGGGGATCACAAATATTTCCCCTATCTTTACTTCCATGAACTTTATTATTTTAGTTTTAAATTAAGTATATAATTCAACTAGTGATTATTTTGGGGTGTGACTTGATATGAAGTTGTCCATGTTCATTTTTTTTCTACATGGCTATCTAGTAGGGATACAAATATTTGTTGGAAAGATTTTTCTTTCCACATTGAATAATTTGGATCTCATCACCAAAAGTCAATTGACTTTAATTTTTCTACATTCCCAGTTCTGCTTCAAGGATTTATTCTGTCCTAGATGCCAGTACCAAATTGTTGGGATTGCTGTAGCTTTGCAGTGTGTTTTAGAGGCAGGTAGTCTGTAGCATCTCCAGCCTTGTTCTAATTTTTAAGATTATTTTAGTTGCTATAGGTACTTTAATATAAACTTGCCAATTTCTGTTTTTTTTAATTAATTAATTATTTATTTAGTATTGTGCCTGCATGTATGTCTGTGTAAAGGTGTCAGATCTTGGAGTTAGAGACAGTTGTTAGCTGCCATGGGGGTGCTGGGAATTGAACCTGGGTCCTCTGGAAGAGCAGTCAGTGCTCTTAACCACTGAGCAATCTCTCCATCCCCCACCCTCTCAATTTCTGTTTTTTAAAGAACCTGTTGGAATACTAGTCCATAATTTTTAACAGTGTACTATACTAATATAAGATGTTAATTATAGGGGAAGAGGAGGTACTTGAAAAGCTCTCTGTACCTCCTGCTTTTAGAAGGACCCAACAGCCCTGCTCTCACCCCCAGGTGCCTGCAACCCTTGCCAATAGCTAGAGAACATGCAGCCTCATGCAGTGCCTAAGGCAAAAACAATACAATTAATTCACTCTCCATTTTTTCACCCACAGAAACTGTGAGATAATAAGTGTTTACAGTTGTTTTAAGCTGCCCAACTTTGATGATAATCTGTGTTGCAGTAATAAATAACAAATGTAGCACTTTTATAAAACTGCTGAAGGAAAAATTAGCCACAACTAATTATGTCTTTTGTTAGGACAAATTCCCAGGAATAGAAAAATGACTCAAGGGTTATGAACAGAAATACATTACCTGGCAATGAACACTTTACTCTGTGAATGGGCTCATCTTTTTGCTTAGAGCAGGGGTCAGCAAACTATTCTTAAAAAGCTGCACTTGGGAGTCAGAGGCAGAGGATCTCTGTGAGTTCGAGGCCAGGTTATCTACAGAGCAAGTTCCAGTTCCAGGGCTACACAGAGAACCCCTGTCTCAAGAAACGCCAGATAGCATTTTATACAATCAGGATAGCATGTGCATCTTTATGTAACTACCAAACATGTAACCATTTCAAAATGCAAAACCAGTCTAAGTTCAGGATCAGGAGAAAAGTAGGCTGCTCTGAACCACTAACCGGAGCTTATTAAGCTCCTGACCTGTGATTTTTTTTTTTTGTATCTAGCTTTTGGTTTTTGGGAACAGAGGGTTTCTCTGTGTAGCCCTGGCTGTCCTGGAACTACTCACTTTGTAGACCAGGCTGGCCTCCAGCTCACAGAGATCCACCTGCCTCTGTCTCCCAAGTGCTGTGATTAAAGGCGTGTATAACATGAATCTTAAAAGGTCTTATTAATAAAAGACAAAAAAACAAAACAAAAAAAAAACAGGTGCCCAATATTGGGGTGAAAGCTGAAAGATCAGAGGAACAGAACAAGCCACAGCCAACTTCACCTCAACAACTCCTCAGCTGATCCTGTTTCCTCAGACTTAAGGCCTCTGAGTCCTCACCCAAATGGATCTAAGCTTTACCCACTAGCTTACCTCTACAAAATCCTCAGTCTAAAGAGTGGGAATTCCTGTTTCCTCACACCTTATATACCTTTTTCTGCCCTACATCTTACTTCTTGGGATCAAAGATGTGTGCTTCCCAAACAAAGGCTGAGATCTCAAGTATTGGGATTCAAGGTGTGGGCCACTACTGTCTGGCCTTTATGTCTAATCTAGCAGCTGGCTCTGTCTTCTGATCCCCAGATAAGTTTATTAGGGTGCACAATATATTGGGATACACAATATATCAGGCTATTAGGGTGCACAATATATTGGGATACACAATATATCAGGCATGCCTGGCCCATGGCCTGTAATTTTTTTTTTAATCTTTTTCTTGTGGCTGGAGAGACAGCCGTGGGTGCTGGGAACCGAATTCTTATATTTTTGGTTGTGAGCCTAGCCTTTAACGGCTGAGCCATCTCTCCAGTCCGGTCTGTAATGGTGAAATGTTTTTAAATTTTAAGTTTTGATTATAAGTTTAACTAATATATTATTTTGTTTTAATTTTCATATAGTACTTTTCAAAACAAAGTAACAAAAATCTGGGTTGGGAATTTAGCTCAGTAGTAGAGAGCTTGCCTAGCAAGCGCAAGGCCCTGGGTTTGGTCCTCAGCTGGGGGGGGGGGGGCGGTGTAACAAAAATCTAATCATGATAGTGTTGCTTGATATCTTTGGAAGACAGTGGTGAGTTAACGAAATGCTCAGTGCTTATAGAGGACCATGCTACCCATTACACAACTTAGACAGAGTTCCTTTCCTCATCATTTTTCTTATTCCAGCTTATCATTTTTTCTAAATATTATATGAATTTCATTGTTTAAACACAAACAAAATGAAATGTATTGTGATTTTGAGACTGTATTTGCTTATGTTTTTGCTTTGGTTTAGAGTTTGTAAGTTGGCTGATTCTAGCACAAATATCCTAACTGAGAAGCGACCCTCTATTCAGCCTCATCCCCGAGTTCACAGAGTTCCTGTTGACAGAATTAAATATCTTCACTCAAGGATCTTTTCAATGCAGACTGGCCTGTCAATCAAACTAAATACTGGAGTAAGCAGTATATTTCAAATACATGCAAAAAAACGTGGTTGAATTGATGGAATCATGCTATCATTCAAGAGGTGGGTTTAGTCTGGGTGTGGTGGTACATGCCTTTGATCCCAGCACTCAGGAGACAAAGGCAGACAGATCTCTGTGAGTTTGAGACTAGCCTGGTCTACATAGTGAGTTTCAGGATAGCCAGGGCTATGTAGAGAAACCCTGTCTCAAAAAATAAAAATAATAAAAGAGCTGGGTTTAGTAACACATGCCTATAATCCCAGTGCTTGAGAGGCTGAAGCAGGAAGATTATGAGTTCATGGCCAGCCTAGGCTACCTGTAGAGATCCTATGTCAATAAAATAAAGTAAAGAATGGGTCTATGAGGCTTCAGCAATGTTACACAGCCTGCTCTAGTTCAAAGGCAGAAAATGTCTTAGGGTTACTATTGCTGTGATGAAACACCATGACCAAGGCAGCTTTTAAAAGAAAGCATTTAACTCACAGGAGATCTTCCCTTTCCTGGATGGAGACAGAAGAGGAGAGGATTGGAGGGGGGAGAAGGAGTGGAACTGGGAGGGGAGGAGTGGGGAGAGGCTGTAGCTGGGATGTAAAATACATAGATGAATAAAAAAAAAAAGGCATTTAATTAAAGGCTTGCATACAGTTTCAGAAGATTAGTTCATTTCCATCATGGCAGAGAACATGGCAGCAAGCAGGCAGGCATGGCCCTGGAATAGTAGCAGAGAGCTTACATCACGATCTGTAGGCAGGAGGCAGAGACACACAGACAGACAGACAGACAGACAGACTAGGCCTGGTATAGGCTTTTGAAACCTCAAAACCCACCCTCATTGACACACACCCTCTGACAAGGCCACACCTCCTAGTCTTTCCTAAACAGTCCACCAACTGGGAACCAAACATTCAAATATATGGAGCCTATGGAGGCCATTCTCCTTCAAACCACCACAAGTGGTAATTAACCCAATAGAAGAATAGTATTCAAAAACATCCTAGCAGGGGTCTGGCCATTCTTCATCAGGTAAGGTATTGAAAGAACTACTTGTACAGGCCAGAATCCATAATCTTTGCACTGTGCAGTAAGTCATGTGTTGTACCACCTAGAATTCAGATTTTAGAAAGTGTATTTATAATCCCAACTTGTGTGAGGATGACAGAGAAAGATTCTAAGATTGAGACTAGCCTGGGCTTTCTAGAGAGACCTTTTGTAAAAAATATTACATGTATATGTACACATATCCTTATGAAATACATGAGAAATCTATGTATTTTCTTAATATTGGAAAATAATATTAATATACATTTTATAATGTAGTTTACATTTAGCTGTCAACAGTATTAGTATAAAACAAAATTATGGGCTAGAGATAACCTGGTTTCACAGTCTTGACCACATGGTAACGGGGAAGTTATCATCCATAAAGCCAGTGTCTGGGGTTGGGGTCAACCATCTGCCTCTTAAAATCCTTAGCAAGGTGTCATCTGGTACCTCCCCTGAGCTTCTTATAAAGTACTTCTATGTCTGCCCTCAGATCAGTTTTAACAGACCTTTGGAGAATGTTGAAGGTAAGTGTCCATCACATCAAGGGTAGAAAACTCGGATAATGTTTGTTTGAGACCTCTAGTGACTTGTTGATATTTTTGGCCAGGAATTTGGAATGCCTGATTTAAATTTGAGGCCTCTTTTCCCAGGGGCTCCTAGGCAGAGGGCTGCATGTATAAGCACTGGAACCTGGTTTTGAAGGCTCTTTCACACATCCTCAGTCATGCTCCCCATGGAGAAGCCAAGTGAGCACCTGCAGCACTAACCCAGGAGGCTTCCCACTCCAGGCTCGGTGTCCTCTCCTTGGACCTCGGGGCATATAACTATATATTTTGATTTTGACTATCATTGCCACAGGGACATGCTTATGGGTCCTCCCTATTTATACAAATTATCTGACTAGAAATAGAATATGTAAGTTAAAGATCATTTCAAAATTAAGTTGTATTCATCTTGAGAATTTTTTTTTTTGAGATGAGGTTCCCTGTAGCCCTGGCTGGCCTGGAATTCACTATGCAGACCAGGATGGCCTTGAACTCATAGAGATATTCCTGCCTTTGCCTCCTAAATGCTGGAATTAAAGGTGTGTGCCACCCTGCAAGAAATTTTTAAAGAGTTATTTATTTATTTTTATGTGTTTGATGCTTTGCCTGCATGTATGTCTGTACACCACATGTGTGCCTGGTGTTCATGGAGGTCAGAAGAAGGTATCAGATTTCCTGGAACCGGAATTACAGATGATTGTGAGCCACCCACGTGGGTACTGGGAAGTGAACCTGGATCCTCTGGAAGAGCAGCCAATGCTCTTAACTAATGAGCCATCTCTCCAGTGCCCGCCCCCCCCCCCAAATTTTTTTAAGTTGTAACAAATGAAACATCCACCAATGAAATGTAACAAGTGAAAATCCACCAATACACCATATTTTCATCAAATTTAAATTTTTACAAGTTAGGAAAAAATGCTATCGTTTATATATGGTATCTGAAGTACTGTAAGTTCTACCTCCAGAAGTGTTCTAATTGGTACTTCCTCTTGCTGCTAGTTAGCAGGATGGACTCATAAAGCATCTTAACCTGAAGCACATCTGAACACAACTGGAAAGTGGGATGTAAAGTAAAGGGCTGAGAGGTGTGAGCAGAAGGCTCCTCGGTGCTTCCAGCTTCTGCCACTCTGCTGATGCAGCATCTTCCTTCTCTTTTAACTGTAGCTCTGTCTTCTCTGCCAACAATTCTATGCCATGCTCCTGAAAAAGGTCACATATTCGCTACGCAACTGGAGGTTGATGCTGTTTGTGCAGATTCTGCTGCCTCTGCTGATTATTGTGTTAAGTCTCACTTTTTTTGACTTCAAATCAAAGAAAATGGAAAATGTACCTTTGGAGCTGACTTTAAAAACATATGGTCAGACAATTGTTCCATTTTTTGTTTCTGACAATTCCCTCTTGGGTCCTCAACTTTCGGATAAATTTAAAAAGATGCTTGTGGCTGCAGGACAGATTCCTTTGTATATTCGAGGTAAGCACCAGGACGAGGGAGCTGCACAGGAAGTAGGCCTGTTTTTCTTTGTGGGGAAGCTGCATCTTTCTTGACCACATAGTGCTCTTTGAAGTCAGACTGAAAAGCCAGAAAGTCAGAAAAACATCATGTAGACTCTGGATAACAAGAAGTGGAGGACTTCTAGAGATGCAACGGTTGTGTCTTCAGAGCTTATGGAGTCTTTTCTGTTTGTTTGTTTGTTCAGGACAGGGTTTCTGTGTGTAGCTCTGTCTGTCCTGAAACTCACTCTGTAGACCAGGCTGGACTCGAACTCAGAGATCCTCCTGCCTCTGCCTCCTGAGGGCTGGGATTAAAGGTGTATGTTTTACACTTTTACCTCTCCCTGGCCAATGTTGTGGAGTCTTAAGAAATTGTTCGTAGTGGAAGGTCTTCAGGTCATTGATAGCACATTCCTGAAGGGGATGGAGCTATCCCAGACCCTTCCTCATCCTTCTCCACTTTTCACCCATGAGGAGACCAGTTTGCACCTCCACACACTCCTTTCATGATATTCTACCACAGGCCTCAATGCAACAGGGCCGACTAACCATGAATTGAACCATTAGCCCAAACAAACCTTTCTCTTAGGTATTTGTTATGGTGACAGAAAGCTGGCTTAACACACTATGCTTCTCAAACCTTCAGTTTCTTCATTCATGAACTTGGGAGAACCCTTTTGTGCAGTATTGCTGGGAAGGTTTTATAATGAACATTTTGTATATTTGGTGTCCAATGTAATAATGTCATTATTTTTTTAAGATCACTAAAGGTCTTTTTCAGCTTTAAAAATATAGGTAGGTTGTATATGAGATGTGGCACTATGAATTGAGAATATAGTCGTGAACAGAATTAGTGCCAGCCCTCAAGGAACTTCTAAGCAAGAGGCCTCGTTCTGCTACGTAGTTCCAGAACTAGTAGCAATGATTATGATAGACACATCTCAGCTCGGGAGGATCCATGAAACCCCACAGTCAGAGCCTGCCATGTGATTGGCATGGCTAGTGGGAAGGGAAGATAACCAAAGACACTCCAAACAACATGAACCTGCATGCTTAAGGGACTCATTGGTGTCGAGAGAATCTAAAGACACGAGGCCAAGAGTTTGGACAGTGATTACATAGTTTTATCTTATTCTGTCAGAATGCAACAGAAAAGAAAATAGAGGTTTATTCTGGCACATGGTTCCAAAAGTTAACAAGTTCAAGAGTGAGGTATCATCTGTCGGCTTCTGAGGAGAGCTTCACATTGTGTGTTGGAACATGGTGGACAGGAGGAAGGAATTTCATGGTAGGAAGAAGAAGCTGAATCCACTGACATAATAGCACACTCTTGCCATATCCAACCATCTCCAGAGAAGTAACCCACTCCTGCTAGAGCAGGAATAACCCCAATGGTGAAGCATCCAACCCACACATCATCCACGTCAAAGTGCTCACCACCTTCCTGTTCCTTACACTGGGACTGACTTTCTATGTTACTCATAGGGAACAAACTCCATCCAAAACCTAACATAGAAAATGGGTTCTAAGATAGGCATGGTAGCACACGCTTTTAGTCTCAGCACTCAGAAGGCAGAGGCAGGCCAGTCTCTGTGAATTTCAGGCCAGCCTGGGCTACATAGTGAGAACTTGTCTCAAAAACAAACAACAAAAACAAAACAGAAAGTGCACTTTATAGTATGTGGATGCGTGGCTTTGCCTAGAGGTCAGAGTCACTGTAAGTGGGTAGGTCTGAGCATACTATTATTAGGTGTGTCCTTTTGCACCAAGTACAAAGATATTATATAGACACTGAAGAGTTTTGTTTAGGATCACATGGTCCAGAAGACATTATGGGACTAGACGTATTGAGATGGTAGTAAGGAAAAAAGTAGTTGGAATTCAAAAGGACTTAAAAGATGGAAATTTGGAGATCATCTGGAATTCAGTATGGAGCAGGGCAGGATAAGGCCAGCCTTTGGATGTATGTGAGGTTGGTGGTGGGGAACCCAAAATGAACAGATGCACTGTGTGGCTGCTGTGATATTTTCTCAGCAATTCTTACTGCCCAATGTACCTTTGGCTCCCTTCTAGGTTCTGTAGAGGACTTCCTACTGAAAAAGGCAAAAGAGGACCCTGAGGACTTTGATAAGCTCTATGTGGTGGCAGCTTCTTTTGAGGACGTGAATAACTGCACCATAGTGAAGGCACTGTTCAACAACCAGGCATACCATTCCCCGGGCCTGGCTCTGACTCTGGTGGACAATTTCCTCTTCAAGTTGATTTCTGGTGCCAATGCTTCCATTACCACAACCAACTACCCTCAGCCTCTGACAGCTGAAGAGCTCTCAGAGAGTGTCTTGTACCAGTACGTGCGACTTCCCCCATCCTCAAGCCTACACATCTGTAGGGACTCTCGCTTCCCCACTATTTCTTTCTTTGTTTCATTTTAATTCCAAATGATTGTTTTGGAAGAAGGCTGCAATTCACAGTTTTACTTAAACTTCTGTCTCATCTTCTGTCCTTTACAGGGGCCCTAAAGGACATTACCTTGTTACCAACTTTCTTTTTGGAATAGCTTTCCTGTCAAGCTCTTTCTCCATCTTGACAGTCACAGAGAAAAACATTAAGTCTAAGAACATCCAGTTTATAAGCGGTGTCAGTGCGGTTGCGTTCTGGCTCTCCGCTCTGCTGTGGGATCTCATTTCTTTCCTTGTCCCTACTCTCCTGCTAGTGGTGAGTACTGGGTGGCACTGGGGTCATTCCCTGTGGACCAGGGACTCCCCTTAAAGCCCCATATGCAGAACCAGCTGGGAAGTTCAAGTGGTAGCCAGCCCTGACTAGAAAGGTGGATACGAAAGCTCTTGTATCACCAACCCTGGTACGAGTTCATTTAGCTTTGATGTCTTCAGGAATGGGGTACCTTGCTCTGTGGTGTTTCTGTGGCACCCACAGAGCTGCTGCCTCCATCAGTGTTTTGGAGACGTGTATGTATTTGGTTGTGATGGAATCAAGTAGTCCGAGGGATCCCTGAGTATTTTGTGCAGAGTGGGTCATCCCCTGCTTTGTTCTGTGTTTCATAAGCATCTCTTCATCCTACTTCACTGCGTCACTGACACTCCGGGGCAGCTCCTGAGAGCCGATCTCAAGAGTCTGCACTTTAGTTCATGAGTGAATGCCTGGAAGTATTGTTAACGGCTTGCTTTAAAACCTGAGATTATGGGCCTGGGAGACGGCTCAGTGAGTGTTTGCTCACAGGCCTTAAGACCTGAGTTTAATCTCTAGATCATACGAGATGGCAGGAAGAACCAGCTCTAGAGCGTTGCCCTCTGCCCTCCACACACACATCCCTGGCTCACAAGCAGTAACTCCACCCCATCCCCACAGATACATGAATTAAGTAAAGCTGAATGACTGTATTACTAGCACTTAGAATGAACACTCACTGATGTTTCCAATTTTTCCCTCTCCCCTTTCTTTAGTTGGTGTTTTTCTGGTATAAGGAAGAAGCTTTTGCCCATCCTGAGAGCACCCCAGCGGTGGTCTTAATAATGATGCTCTACGGCTGGGCTGTCATCCCTTTCATCTACACAGTCAGCTTCTCTTTTAAAACTCCTGGGAATGCGTGTGCTAAGCTTGTGGTAATGCTCACCTTCTTGAGCATTGGCCCCTTTGTGCTTGTCACGGTCACAAGTGATAAAGGTGAGATCACATCTACGTTTTGAGTAAACCTCTCCTCTAACAGCCCCGGTGGTTACACCCTCAAAAATATGTGTCGACCAAAGAGCCGTGAGAAAATGTTCACAGCTGCCATGGGCTGAAGATCCCCAGCTGGAGTGTGCCAAACACATCGCCACAGTGAGCGGACAAACAGTTCAATCAAATTCACTCAGTAGATTATTGCTCAGCTTTAAAAGGGGACCACATGGCGCTAAAGAGTCTGCTATGTGTTGTGTGAAGTCCACAAACAGACAGAGTTAATCTTGGAAACAGAATCAGAAAAGGGGCTGCCCCTGGGTCGTGGGGAAAGGGCTGACTGAAGGAACCACACACCAGGGAACTCTGGGAATGAAGAGGTCTTCTTGACCCGGAACTGGGCACCACTTTACCTGGCTGTACACGCTTAGTAATCATCGTTCACCTGGGACCCATGCACTTCACTAAATGTAATGTTCTTTACTTCTAAAGGAAGGTAATGAGTCAATAAGTCAACATTGGAGGAGGGCTTCCTGGTAAGCAAAAGAAACTAAGATTGAGTCATTATTTACAACATCCACCTGAAACTGGCATCTTCATGTTTATGCTACCATCTCTGCATCAGGGTTGGACAAAAATGACTGACATGTTACCTCTACATTGCTCTTTTTATTAAGATTTATTTTATTATCATGTGTATGTGTGTTTTTCTGTGTGAATGTGCACAAAATTAGGGGTTCACATGGAGGTCAGAAGAGGGCCCCAGATCCTCTGGAACTATGGTGACAAGTGATTGTCAGCTGTCTGACATAGTTGCTGAGAACCAAACTCCAGTCGTCTGTAAGAGCGAAAAGTTCTTAACTGCTGGCCCTCTCTCGATGCTCCAGGTTGACTTTTCTTCCCTTCCTCTCTTTTGTTTTGTTTTTCAAAACAAGGTTTCTCTGTGTAACAGCCCTGGCTGTCCTGGAACTTGCTTTATAGACCAGGCTAGCCTCAAACTCACAGAGATCTGCCTGCCTCTGCCTCCCAAGTGCTGGGATTAAAGGCATGTACTACCACAGCCCGTCCTTTTTCTTTATTTTTAAAAGTAATTTGGGGGCTTGGTGAGATGGACCAGCAGTTAACAACATTGGTTGCTCTTCTAGAGAACCCAGGTTTTATTTCCAGCACCCACATGGTGGTTCACAAATGTCTTTAACTCCAGTCCCAGGAGGTCAAGGGTACTGAAAATATGTGCAGGCAAAACACTCATACACATAAAAATTAAGAAGAATTATTTTATGTGAATAAATGTTTGCCTGAATGTCTGTATGTACATCACTTGCGTGACTGGTACCCACAGTGGCCATCAAGGCATGTCAGATTCCTTAGAACTGAAGTTAGAGTGCTGTGAGCTGCCATGTGGGTGCTGGGAACCAAATCCAGATCCCCTGTAAGAGCAGCAAGTGCCCTAACCACTGAGCTGTCTCTCAAGTTCTCATCCTTATATTTTACTTAAAATTTGGTTTACAATTTCCCTTTTATTTGGGGAGTTTTCCTCTTTCCAAAGGGACCCTTCATGGCAGTTTAGTCTCCATAAACCATGGAGAAAGGGACCATATACCCCTCTGACTGCAAGATGACACTCCAGAGCTGGGAACATGGTAGAGTATTTGCCGGGCATGCATGAGGCCCTAGGTTCCATCCTCAGTCCGGGGGTGGGGTGGGGGTGGGAATAAGACACTAGAGCGGCTCCAGACTGGCTCCTATGCCCTGGTCCATCTGTCTCAGCTCACCTCCAACCTGTCCCTTCTGCCTTTCCTCCTCTGTTCACCCAGCCCTCCTGTAGCCATGCCCCCTCGGATTTTCTCAGACAACGTGCTCTTCAGGTTCACCTACCAGAACAAGGGTGTGGAAATAAAGTGACAGAGCGAAGGAACTAAGCAAAGACTAGTTCTGGTGGCCTAGAGGCTGAATGACTAGAGGGAGAGTCGACACCAGGAGTCAGGGAAACCGGGTTTCTGGTGGAGACACGAGAGTAGCATGGTCTGGACTAAAGAAGTGAGTGAGGAGGGACGGTGAAGTGGGCACCTGACTCATGCAAGTAAAACCCACACTTCTGTTCTCTTTGCAGACCTTGGCTATGCAGAACTCTCAGACTCCTTGGATTACATTTTCCTAATATTTCCTGGACATTGCCTGGGAATGGCTTTTTCCAACTTGTACTATAACTTTGAACTAAAAAAGCTTTGCAATGCTAAGAACTTGAGTGATATTGACTGCAATGATGTTTGTAAGTATTATAAATGGAATTTGCTGGTAACAGTTTTATTTATTTTTATTTCATGTGTATAGGTGTTTTGCTTGCAAATATGTCTGTATAAGGATGTGGGATGCCCTGGAACTGGAGCTGCAGACAATTGTGAGCTGCCATGTGGGTGCTGGGAATTGAACCCAGGTCCTCTGGAAGAGCAGCCAGTGCTCTTAACCACTGAGCCATCTTTCCAGCCTCCATGCTGATAACATTTTTATACTGGTATTATTTATATAATATGATTTTTTTTTTGCTTTTTTTTTTTTTTGAGACAGGGTTTCTCTGTGTAGCCCTGGCTGTCCTGGAACTCACTCTGTAGACCAGGCTGGCCTCAAACTCACAGACATCCATCTGCTTCTGCCTCCTGAGGGCTGGGATTAAAGGTGTGCCTAACCACTACCCAAATGATTTGTCTTTTTTGAGACAAAGTCTCTCTATGTATCCCTGACTGTCCAGGAACTCACTATTTAGACCAGGCTAGCCTTGAACTTGGAAAGATTTACCTAATTACAGGCATGTACCAACCCACCAAGCTATAATTCATTGTAACATTCACCTTTTATATGAAATGACATAGTATTTGCATATCTGAACACCCCCTCCGTGTGTGTGTGTGTGTGTGTGTGTGTGTGTGTGTGTGTGTGTGTGTTGCTCAGAATCTAACACAGAGCCTTGTGCGTAGCAGGCAAGTGTTCTCCCACTGAACTATATTCAAGTCTGCTCCCACATACTTTAAATTATCTTTAAATTTCTTAAAACAGTTAATATAGTGTAAGTGCTATGTAAATAGTAGTTACTCTACATTTAAGAATAATGACAAGGAGAAAAACTATAGATATTTAGTACAGATAGTTTTTATTTTCTGAAAAGTTTTGACACCCCAATTTCTCATTGGTTGAACCCATGGATACCGAACTTAGGAATACAGAGAGATAACTGTACTTTGCCATTTTGTATAGGACTCAAGAATGTGTAGATTTTTGTGTGGATATGAACCACTGCCATGCTAAGGGAAGACAATAACCTACAGGTATACCAAAAGGAGACTAGTTAACAAATTGTGGTGCACCCAGACAAAAGAAAATGATATAAGTATCAAAAGTGATTTTATCTGTGTATTCTGTTTTTTCTTTTCTTTCTTTTCTTTTTTTCTTTTTTTTTTTTTTTTTTTTTTTTTTTTTTTT